TTTTCACTCAAACTTTCTTTTCTTTTTTCTTTTCGCAAGAAAGACTAGAATTCCATCACTAAAACCTCAGGGGGAAATAATATTTTTTAGTGAAAAAAAACAAAAAAATGATGAACCCCATGTTTGTTCTATATGTTTTGAATTATTAACACCTATTATATACTTCTGCACCTCTCTGGCGGTTTTCTTGTGTCTTCTTCTCTTTTCAAAGCTACTGCCTTAAACGAAGGCACTGAAACAGTGACGCTATCCTCAACTAATTCGGAATATTGCTAGCCCGCCTGGTGAATAACGGGACCACCTCTATCATGAAATCTGCTGACAAGTTCAAAGTTGGTCTCATATACAACTGGAAATGTCACAATTATGGTGTACTTACCGGTGAATTTGAAGTTTTATGGACTTTCAAACACTCTATGAATCATTTACTTACAATTACTGTTCATTCCGCATCTCTTATATTTCACGTCATCACCTGTACAAAAATGCTACTTACCTTCCACAATTAACGTAATCGTTTATAATTCCCGCGTGAAATTGACATACTGTATTTTTTCAATTACAGTTTTGATTTGATGCTATATCTCATGAATTATTCAGTTGAAAGCATATCTCGAAAATTACCTATTGCCTTATTTGTACGTTTCTTTTTAAATGATTCTCTTACATTAACCAGTATTCAATCTGTTTCTAGATTAACAAATCATTTTATATATTCTATAAGTTCTAATTAGTGTACATATGTTCATGCCTGTAAAAACGGCTGGTTTCTGTTCCAGAAATAAAATGTTATTATTATTAAGGAATGATATATTTGTCTTTCAGACACTGGTGTAAATTCAGTTATTTGAAGCTGGTTATTTGAAGCGTAAGCCCACAGCGTGTTGTGGATTTACATGGGCTTGCCATGTTTCTACAATACAAGACTCTGCGAACATTCAGGTGTGGTTAGTGGCTAGTGTTCAGAAGGATAAAACGGGCCACCAAGGAGGAAATACGTCTTCCCTATCATTTGTGAGGCTTCTTTTGTCTACTAGATGATGAATACCCTTCCGTGTGTTCGACTAAGTTTCCTGCTTTCAAAAATGAGTTTTCAAAACGTACGTTGGTTTTCTGCAACGATACAATCTGTTAGTAGTCGTTTTGACAGAAAATTTGGCGGATAAAGACTAAGTAGGTCATTAATGTATTCTTGCTGAATTAGAAATCGTTTTCAAGGTCACGAATATATTTTGGTGTCTTAAGATGAAGCCTTAGTAATGAGCTCTCATTCTAGAATAATTGCCCAAATCGTCGACTGACAACTCGTTTTTAATGAAAAAATGTCAGTTATCGTTGCATGTCTATTTAGCCAACACGATGGTGAGCAAGTGAAGACAGGAGGCCTACTCAAGCAGTTGGAAAGGTATTTATTACTCAATATCAATCAGTAATGTTACAAATTAAAAAGAAGGTATAGTTCCCACATAGTTACTTGCCCACATAAATTCACACAAATTAGCCATTTACATCGTCAACATTCCATTTGTACAGACATGATCATATTTGAACACGGTTTTATCACATAAATATTGGAATAAAGAAAAAATTCAAACAATTATATGAGAAATTTGTAATGTTTACTTTTAATCATATGTGCTAACAATAATCTGAATACCTGCCAGATCTAGGTTCTGGTGATTTCAACACTCCGTTCAAGTCATACAAACGTAGAGAGCAGCATTACTGTACAAATGCTGTGTTCCAATGCAGTAACTTTGGGAAGAGAAGACGGAAGAAAACAGTAAGAGAGATGCAGAGGCAGCCAGCAAGCATTAATAACTTAACATGCTGATCAGCAGAGGTGGTAGTGGTCACAAATGTGGATCGTTTCGATTTGTAACACAGCAACATGCATTTTTGACAGCTCGAGAATTAAACATGAGTTTAGATCCTCAACATAAAAAACGATAATGAATGAACAGATCTAAATTATAAAAGAGCTTATGTTCCTAACACTTACAAGCCTGCTCAGCTTCTTGTCTAGATTCTACACACTTGGCCAAACACAAATTCGCCAGACATCTAACAGGTCAGCATATCCTACTGGTTGTAATCTTTCAAGCTATTTTTCTCTGAAATATCACTTGTATAATTCACGATAATCCTTTTATGTAATAACTATCATACTCTGTTTTATCTCAACTTCCTGGGCCTTTAATAAAGCTAAAATTCACTATTTCCATTCACATTCATTGCTCTGATGAAAAACATAACGACAGCATCCATGTTTTCATCGAAAATGTCACAATTTCCATGACACCATTGTATCTGGCATTATACATTGCAAATGTATACTATGGCTCCTTGTTTTTATCTTGTAAATGTACTTTCAGTGATGTATTATCCATAACTCCATTTTATACCATTTTGCAGTTTCCCAGGACTCTCTTTTCCTCCCGAAATAGCTTTCGATCACATAGGAGCATAACAGTTAACCAAATATATGTCGTTCGTTGGCTGGCCACAACTATCAGCAACAAACAGAACGAAGTTTGGGTTGCCGCTCAGCCTTGATGGTGACCTCAGTAAAGAGCTTACAATATGACATTAATGCTAACCTGTTCTGATTGCTCGTATTATAATTCAACAATTTAAACTTTTGAAAAGTGCTAAATTATGAGAATTCACAATTGTAATTTATAGCATAACTGGTCGTGCCTGTAAAAACGGCATGCATTTCATCTAAGCTTACCCCTTTATACGAATTATATTATTATTATACAAAACGAACAATATAAGATAAACGCAGGATGCATCCCAATTTTTATCACCAAGAAGTGGTAGTCATTGAATCTTTTAGCGTTTCTCATCAACAGTTAGTCTAAGTACACGGTGGTATCCGAAAGAGTGAGAGAAAAAGGATGACTGTTCCCACCTAAATACTGTAATTTTAGGAAAAGATAGTGAAAAAGAAGTTAAACCCAAGCGTCAGAGTACATACAATATGTTGTAGAAAAGAGAAAGTTTATTAACATTTGTGTTGTTGTTCTGATTTATACAGTTAGACGTCCATCTGAAGTAGCGAAATCATATGTGCTTGTATCCAGAGAGTTCATGCTCATGCTGTGGCATTCATGCAGTTTCGTCTTTCTTTTCGCTAAAGTTATTTCATTCTTCCCTATTCCCAAACTTCTAAGCCATCACTGGGCGACTCTAGCACTTCGAGCACAAAGTGTATGTTATGATTATCTTACAGAAGCAGCCTCCTAATCTCAAAGGTTCACTGTAGGGTGAGAATAACAAGAATATTAACCACAATTTTTGCGTAATCAAAGGAAGATAGGGTTCAGTCTGTAGTATGTACAGGTAAAACGCTACCAATTTTAGCAACGTCATAATTTCTTACACTGTAAATTTCATTCATCTGAACCAGTATTTCGCTATGCTTAATGTGGAACAACTGAAACATACGAAGTTATCTGAAAGCCTTATTTCACTCATGCCTCGCCAGACCAGAATTGCCCACCAGTAATAAGAAGGAACAACAATTTTGTCATTCAAAACATAATGCTTATACCGAGACCGCCGTCAGTAAACGGGTGTATTCATCTAGGTGATGGAAATTATGTTGGAAACAAGCAAGCATACCGGAACGAATATTCAGATGGAATTGATGCTTAAATAGATGTTGTAAGTTAAATAACATATCCGGATAAATGCTGGTCGTCATTCAGTTTGGTTATTTTGTGCTGTTTTTTACATTTTTAAGTACTGTCATAATTTCAAGCATACTTATTCTTTGAGAGTGAAACAGATAGGGAAAGTGAAGTGTAATAAAAAGCTGCAAAGTCTGTTGCTTATTAGCAGCCAGACCAGAATAGTGTGATTTTATCAGGACTTCTAGGAGGTGGTACGATATATAATAACACAAGTTCTTGTATCCATAATTCCTATAGTATTTGTTCTAAGTCAGCCAAAGGTGTATTGAACACCGAATTGACAATTCAAAATATGAAATATATTTTGCTACCAGAATTATTGCGAGAGGATGATTGCTCAACTAGCTACGGATTTTACACGAACTAACAAACGTAATACGACGGCATACCAAGTGTGACAGATGCCTGACCGCCAGCACTCAGCTAAAAAATTCGAGTTAAACAGTGAAGTCCATCATCCAGTAGTGCGTGACGAATGCTGTAGGCTAATAATTTTGGGGAAACATCTGACATTACAGATCAAATATAAATCTGCGTATGCCATGTGATAGGGATTTTTTCGAGTTGTATACCCTGAATATATCTTGCGACGAGTTTTACTCTTCATTTATATTCTGCATCATTTGGCATTACTTATTTAAGGTTGGTAAATCTAGGAATAAAAGTTTAAATTGACAGCAGTGATTCAACATAAAAACAGGTCAGCTGCCAACACAATACTTTTAAGTATTATGAAATTAAGTACTTAAAGTACTTTTCATCATGAAGTTAAAGCATACCGTCTTAAACTGGAATGCTACTGTTATCAAAATGTCTAGGTATACAAAGCAAGCATATTTAACAGGGTGAAACTTATAGCCACTGCAGTGCATGATGAGCAGACCAAAGACTATACGGACATAATTATTTCAAAAGAATCAGGAATTTAAACTGTTGAAATTTATCTTTGTGTTTTAATACCAAGGAAGGATATTTCTACAAGTGGTTTCAATGCTAGAAGTGCCACGAATGTTTGACCTTCACAAACGTCTTAAACACACATGAGTAACTTTAACAAAATCAGACTGTTTTGGTGTTCTGCGTACATATCTTCCAGAAATCTCATGTTTTTTTGGTGGATAACCAGTGGTAAAAGCTTTTACCTAAATCCATGAGTCACAAAACCCATTATCAAAATGGGAAGAGTGAATTATCAAAAGTTGTGTTTTTCTCTAGGTTTTAATGAAAAAAAATCTGTAAAAAATAATTTTAACGACTATTTAGTTGAATAAGTTATCATGGCTCTTGCATACAGAATTGCGTTACGTCAGCCATCTTGTACGCGCTACCTACGCTCTGCAGACGTGGTGGATGGTGTTAGATCCTTATTGTTAAGGCATTTATCAGTGTTGTCACGCCATAATTCGTAACTAACTGGTGTTTACGCACAGTGTGCATTTGATGTTTAATGGATAAGAAGCGCTCTCACTCTGAAATGTTGACTGACGTATGCGAAAAGCCTTCAAGGTGAGGTACCTCACGTGACGCCATCTTGGTTTTGTCAAGTTGATTTATATTTTCATATACAGCGTAGTATTTCTGTAATTCTTGTTAGTAAATGCGTTAATACTTTATGTTTCACTCTACTTTCACATTTCATGAAACGTTTTTTGCGATTTTAACTAATGATTCGGCTGTCTATTCATGATTTTGTTTAGGCCAAATGGAGATGTTGTAAACAGTGGTCACGGCCAACCTGACCAAGAGAAAAGAGTTCGTAGAGAAATAGCCAATAGCAATGAACGGAGACGGATGCAAAGTATCAATGCTGGATTTGATTCCTTACGCATTCTGTTACCCTCCATAGCAGATGGTGAGAAAATGAGCAAGGTAACACTTAACTTCATTGTATATTGCTTTAGGCTACCATATTGCAATTGACTGCCAAATATATTAACACGCTGCTTATGCGTGTTAGCCTGTTGGAAAGTGAAGTTGCAGTTTACAGGCAGTCAGCTGGCCTACAACCCAACCCAATATCCGTAGACATGTCAAATTCGATCCTGACGACAAGGAAAAGAAAGTCAGATGACATAAGTAAGTTAGTTATTTGCTTGATCTCTATTTGTAGAAAAACGTCCTGATTGTCTGCGCAATCGCCGTCAACGTGTTGAAGCTGAAGGCACTTACGATTCATCACGTCAAAATCATCATTTCTCCCCCGAAAGCACAGACACTCACCAGTCATCTCCACTCAATTCTTTCAATAGCAGTGCATCCATCTGTTCTGCATCTCCTCAGCCAGAAAGTACCGGTAGTACCGCGGCAAGACTAGAACATCTCGTGATGGCCATCGAACAAATTGAGGGCGGTGGTGCACTTAATAACTCTCCACAGCCTGAAAGTCATGATGGTAGCTTTTCTACAGGTGATCGCTCACCACCGGAAACTTACTGGCACAGTCCACAAGAGAACTACCACGGTTATGCTTACGTTGATGCGCAAACAACAAGTCAAAAACCTGGCAATCTCTTCACTGACTCCCTTTTGCTAACCCCAGTTTCGGAGATCAATCCGTCAATAAACTCTGGTGAAAGCATTCAAGTCCATAACACAGAAGATTATCCGATCGTTGCCAAGCTCCTGAATCGTCCTATTCCTCACAAGTACCTCCACAGACCCCAGGTTGTCGTTAACAGTTCTCACTAATTTCATATACTTGTTAGTTTCGCATTTCCAGCCTCTAATTTTAATCGCGGTGATCTATACGGACTCTGCTTGCAGAATTTTGCTAGTGTGGTGTACATATTTTTGAGGTTTATTATGTTATTTCCCCGGAACTTATCTATATGTTTTGTGATCTTTTTTATCCTTAGTTATTCGTTTGTTTATGGGAAGGGTCTATAAATTTTGCGCCATACGATGGTTTTTCTGTTTAGCAGTTTTTGTATTTTGTAAAATAACTGATAGTTTGTTTTCTGTTGTTTGAAAATTGATCATATACTTGCTCGAACATTTCACATATGATGTTGTAAATGTTCTCATACTCACGTTTGGCGAGTCTTATTAAATTGTTCTAGAGTGAGACTTCCTTTTTTCTCCATTTGCATATTTTTATGATGCCGTTTGGTATGTTAAGGCTCAGAATAATGTGGCTTTAGGTCCAAATTTACTGAGCATTATTTAACGTTGCATGAGAGTGTAACAGTCTGAGGTGGTGTCGAATAGTCACAAACGTTTGATTAGCTTGCAACATTGAATTAGTTTTGTGTAACACTTAGCTTATAAATGGTGGACTTAAGGTTTAAATCCCATTCAGCTTACCAAGATTTTTATCAGCCTCTACACATCCGCTGTGGCTCATTATCAAATATATTGTCATGCGTATGGTTGTTAAGTAGTGTAGCGTACTGTGTTTTTTCAAGCCTCAGTACTACGTTTTTCTATTGCAAGTTATTGGAATGGTGAGCTGTATATCGAAGCCGAATTTACTAGGGTAGTTAAAATGAATTCAGTCGGAATTGCTAGGTATTTCGTGTTTTATCAGAACATGAACATTCGAAGGTAAGTTGATAAACATTATCATATTGTACAGTAGTCAGTCCATTTTATGTTTGCCAAAATCCTCTGTTTACTGTCTTAAATACTGCACTGTCTCAAGTCGAAAAGTATGAGTTGGCTTCAGAAGGTGATTTAGCTTAGCTTTACTTTTTACTGGTGGTAAGAACACTGTTGGTGTTCTGCTGTCTAAAACGGTAACAACTTTTATTTATTGCCTTTTTTATACTTATTACCGTATATGGACTGCAGGAATTCAATTGCGAAGTCCACTGTCGCACGAATGGTGCCTAAAGATGGGGCTGTCGTCAAATATGTAAGGTATGCTGTTTAACACCGGTGGAGTCTTCCTTTAATTCAGAAATGGAATGGCTATAGACAGTTAATTGGACGTCATATTTCCGTAACATTAGTTAAACAATGACTGTGACGCAACAGAAAGAGTTGACATTCAAACTTAAGTACCGGGATCTAATCACCACTTAGTCCCAAACAAGACTTATTCACAAGTCTGTCGCTTCAGCGGCTCGCCTTTGTGTTTCATTATCTTAGTAACTTAGACCATGACAACAGTCTCGTAGAGTGAGATTCATTCGCGTTGTTTTTATGTCATCTGCTTGTGTTGTTACACATTTGTCTGTATTATAAGGTTGAATCAGATAATATTCCCACTAGTTTTTCCTGATTCATTTTTTCCTTCATGAATAGAATGTTAACTGACATCTGAGAAACGTGGTCGGTCCATCTGTATTTTGTGTTAGTCAACAGCACAATAAGTGTGATGATCTCCAACGCTTCAGTCACATAACCCTGAAGTTTTTGTTTCGCCAGAACACGTGTACGTTTATTAGCTGATTTTAGTGAGGACACTCTTGAAGATATTATTTTCAACCGTCGTGCAACAAGTTCTGATGTCGTATTCTTTGAAGAATTTATATCCTCCAATTTACTATACTCTCAGCGTTATTGGAATATTAACAAGAGGCATTCATGAATACTTTATGGTTATATTAAACAACTTCGTAATGATGATTGGGCTAGTCCGTTTCAAATTACTCCAGATGATTCGTAGCAAATGTTCCAGTTATCCATGGACTTCCCTAAAGTTGTGTCACTTCATAGTTTGGTGCGTAAGCATGCATGTATTACCAACTAGATGTTAGCTGCAATAGGCTCGTCAGCAAAATCATGAGGGTTTAACTTGTATCCTTCAAATTAGATAATGACTGACCTACTTTGATGTGCCCAGATGGTTAGCCATTAGAAAGATTACCCATTGATATTGTGTCTGCGACACAAAGAATGTATGTCATTGACAAATTCTAATTTGCTTTCACTGATATCTTTCTAGTCTATATATATATATATATATATGGCTGAACTGAACAGTTGTGAATAAGTAACCCCAAGGTTTAACAGGTATCGAGTAACTGGCCAATTGGCTCCTAAAACTTCATTTTTGGTGCTGATTTCTTACCGGTTTGAAGTTTCACAGTACGATGACTTGTATCGATTCACTGTACTTCTCTGACCTTATGCGTTAATCCTTTTTAAGCTGTAAACAGATTTTACCATCTTAAGTTGAGTTAGGCTTCAAATTGTGTTTATGGATGATCGATTAGAATGTTTTTACATATATTGTTGATCAAATCACGTTCTCTAAACCACAGTAGTAGAATATGTAAGATTACTGACTATACTTTATCGTTAGTTTATCAGGGACCGTGAAAGCACAACTGGTAATCAACCAGCTTTATTCCAATCCGGTATTCTTCTGTTAACTTAAGCGTAGGAAAAATCACCTGTTGTTGAAGTAAAAACTATTTTGTCATAAGCTTTGTGAAATGAAATTTAGTGTGTAGTGTATGACAAACTAATGCTAGGCAACATTAATTTTGACTGAGGCAATGGATTACAGATAAGTTTGTTAAAACCTAGTAAAGATATATCTCACTACCGACATTTTTAGACAGCTCAGTTCTACACGACTTAAGCTATAAACAAATTATTGACTTTGCGTTTAACGATTGAATTGGCTGAAAATGTTGTAACTATCTGATCACCGTGTGCTTTCATCAGCTGAATTGTTGTGTTCATAATCATCAAGCACGTGATAGCTGGTTAGCCTTAATGAATATCTGTTGTTGAGTTTTTGTTGACACTAGCACATTAAGATCATATCTATTAGCTGATTGATTCTTCAGCAAGCAAGCTTGTAGGGTGTTATTTGAAGGCCGGTTTTGTTTCTAGGTCCTAGAGTGTTGACAAATAAATCAGTAATGCTCTACATCAGTATGTTTTGTCTGTAGGACTGATCAGAAAGTGGTCACTTTTAAATTATATTCTGTTGAATGTTATCACCCTTTTTGTATAGACATTGGAACTTGTGAATCCCAGTCTTTATTTATACACTCAAACGTTTTGGACTTCAACACTACCCATCTTTATCTCAGGTGAATGTTAAAGCTAAAGATGAATTCTGCTAAATAATTGTAAGCAACATAACATTTTATGGAATTCTGTAGGAAAATTTCCTGCAGTGAAATTTTTATGCCGATATATCATACAAAAGGAACAAATTAATGTAGAACTCTGGGTGGGAGTCCATTATCAATGGAAAAGTTCAGATAGTCAGCATTATACGGTTGTAGTGTGTCATCTCTAATACATTTACAATAACCGTAGTCTCTATGAGCATAAAATGTAACACGTTTCGGACAAACTACCACCTACAATTGGTGAAACTAAGTAGTATGTCACATATTGGGTAGATATCGATGTTTCGTTAAAATCTTCACGATGAAGAGATGACATTTTCACCAGTATTTTATAATTAAAGAATTCCTTACATGATAAAGGATGTTAGAGTGTATTAGTTCATAAATGTTTGATTTGCGAAAATAATGCAGCTACTTTGGTATTAGTTGGTGATTTGAGCCAGGCAATCTCTGAAATCCTACTTATCTATCTTTCACAGTATGACTTTTTCATGTAGTTGTAATTTGCACATTACTTAAACTTAGTATCCCATTTTGACATATCTTATAGATCTTCGAAAATAAGAACATATTACTCAGCAGTCGCATCCTTATTCTTGCATGCAACGGTAAGCCTCTTATGTGAAGGTGGATGGAGTTATGTGCCTGAAATGACCTAAGATAATCGGATGGAATCCAACAGGTTGGAATTAAAGTGTATAAACGAGGGGATCATAGCTCTGCCGTAGTCTGAAGAAGGTTCATACTGGAAGTAGCTCAAGAAAGGTCATAAGTCGCGACTCTGGACACAAATTTACCAGCTAACTCTGTCGGCTGCATGACACTGTAATAAAAAAGATCAGGAATCAACTGGGGAGGGGGGCGAAATTTCGTGAATATTTTAGAAGCTACTCATTTTTTACAGTGTCCGCTTATTCATCCAACGTAGTCACATAGATTCCGTGGGTATTGAATTGGTTTAAATTCATGAAATGAGTACATCCGTCTATGATGTTTCTACCTAGCTTAGTGGGACGACTGTCCAGCGTTTGAGGTATCCCACTATAAGAAAATACAGGTTACTGTGTGTGATTTCTAGTATCATTCCGTCCATCAGTATATCCCAGCTGCAATTCACTGCATGAAATGATTTCTGCCTGGATAATTTCGCCATACTGCATATTGTGGAGCTGTAGATGGATAGTCTAGACGCCTAATCTTATGGCATTAATATCGAGAATTTGAAACTGCTTTGTGAGAACGTAGGTGGCGTTAAACACCAAGTGCATGGCAGCTTCATAATACTGAAAAACAAGGTGGGCAAATATTGTCAGCCTATACCCTGTGATTACTGAGTACCAGTACAAGAGGTTCTGCTCCTGAATTATGCTGTATGCATGGGGTGGTATAAGCGGAGGAAAGGTTTACACTACTGATTGATATTGAGTAGCTGGAAATCACTTATGTCAACCATTAGTGCTTCCTAACCAGATCGCAGTGAACTACACACCGGACAGTTGTGAAGATAGTTTGTTACAGAGATCGTCAACGGTGTACCGGGATTGGCTGAACTGAGAAGACTGAATCAATTCGTATTACCGGCTTACTGCTTGGGCGAGTTTGTTATACAATGTATGAAAGTTGTCATTTGTAGTGTACTGAGTTTCAGGTGAAAATACACCACATTTCCCTTTAAAAACTTAAAATATTTAGATCACGATATGTGATCTGTTTTTTTTTATTGTAAATGGTAATCGAGATAGTGTCTATATTAGTCTATATGGCTAGCAAGTGTTACCAGTTGGTATTAGTTGCTTCTAGCTAATGATATCAGTAAGTAGTGTATAATATCTTAGTGTTTTATTTTCAAGTAGATTACATGTTGTAATATGAATATTGTAGGTTTTCATATGGAGCTGTGCCGAATTTCCAATTAAAACTGCGTACTACTTATAAAAGAAGGAATAGTAATAAAAATAATGTAGTGCCTGTACAGTTTATGCGCAGTTTTTAAAATAGTTATAACTACGTAATTACATGAACTTTATTTTATTGCTACTTATAAGAAAGTTATAGAACAGAAGGCGAAACTGAGAATAAGTTTTATC